AAATTCCTTAAGTGGTAAGCAGCTCTACTTCCAACCATAGGCCTTGCATCATGTTACTAGGAGGCGTACCCCAATTCATCTTGACTTCCAACTTGATCTTCTCATTGGTTAGTGTTGCATTATTGTTGGTATATTCTGGCATCTTTCGTCATTGACTTCTATATAGGTATGACCAGAGCTCTGACTTGGTGCTTTTAGATATACTAGGTTAGCTAGTCTGCCTCTATGAGATTATCTTCTTTAGTTAGTTGCTCTATAGTGCCAGAGATGCTTCCAATTTAGATAAGGCCAATCCTTTACCACAGCCCTTTCACATGTTCACTGCTTCTCTCACCATTCTAGTTTTGGTAGTATCATATCACCCTTCTAAGCAAGTACCCAATGCCAACCATATTGGGACTTATACGCACAATTTGTTGATCATCTTTTCAAGCAAGTATCTACAAGTTGAATGCAGGGATGTTGATATTGCCACATATGGAAGTGATGGAATATTGGTATTGCCTCTTTAGTCACCCCAACCAGAGAACTTACTTACGCAATCTTTTACAACCTAGACCTTCTATGATGCTGTTATCATACATAATGTCTGTATTCCATGATCGGGGCTCCTTCTGGGAATTCCTATTCCAGAACTATACTTGTACTTGGACTTTTCACAAGGCTTTGTGTCTGATTATAGCTCTATAGGTTACAGTAACAAATTTAAAATTTGCCACCAGCCTAACTCAAACTGTTGATCTTGTCTGTGGGGTTTGGGAGCTTAACCACTAAGCTACGGGGCCCAAACCCCAAGTGGTTTTATCTTCAATGATTCAATAGCCCTAGATTGAATTTTCTGTTTTAAACACTATTTAATGAAATAATTCTATCACAGAAAGATCGATTATTGTAGCTTTTAAATAGTATAGTAAATCTATATTGGTAGGAGGATTTTAAGAGAAAGTAGAAATATGCAGATGCTAATGAAGAAAAAGAAAAAAAATATGATCTAATAAAAAGGATAAAAAAAATGTACCAATATTAAAATAGCTAAATTAGCCAATTCAGTTGGTTTATACTTTACTTAGATCTCTAGTTAGATCTGTAGTTGTCTAGTCTTTGTTAAAAATCATTTTCTAATATATAAATACTTAATAAAACAAGTCATAAATATGCCTGATAGCACATAATAATAGCTGCTTAAAAATATTTTTGAACATTAAACTACTTCTAATATTTTAAATCATTAGTTAAAAAACTAACTAGTTACTAACTTTTTAACTAATTAATTTGAAAAATTTTTAAATAACTAAATGACTAATTATTTAATTAATATAATTCTAAAATATTTACTTATTTAGAATAATTTATAATGATTTTTTAAATTTGATTAGCTAATATCTGAAAATATCATGTGATATAAATAATCAATTAGTTAGCAACTTTAGTTAGCAACTAATTGATTAGCAAAATTTTACCAACTAGGAACACTAACTACACTTTCTTTTTTAGTTATAAAAGATCTTAATAGTAATAAAATCTCAGAAAGTATTTTATCTATAACAGTTGCACCTATTGATATTCTAAAGTATGCTGATATTAATGATTTTAACAATCCTTATGATGATATCCATTCTTATGTAAAAGAGAATTAACATCTATTTGAGCAAGCAGTAAAAAGAATCTGTATTAAGAAAATAGCTAATAATTGGCGTTATGTTTGTGGTATGATAGAATAGAGTAGATTAGTAAAGATGAAAGAAGATATATAGTTTATAGAAAAAAAGAGGCAAAGACAAGCTATCTGGGCTTCAACAAATAAAAAACTATATTTTATGTACTTAGGGCAGTGTCATTTATCACCTGATTTTTTTTTATTAGAGGCTTACCCCTTCTCCTCTCTTACTATATATCTTGATCAGGTCTTTATATATAATTTTAAATTTTTTTACCCTTTTCCTCTCTAAAAAATCACCTGATTTTTGTCATGTCCTTTACTATGCTTGAATAAATCAAAAATAGTGAAGAATATTGTGAATAATGATATAAAAAATTAATTTAATATTTGTAATATAATAATATAATTAATTTAATATTTATAAAAATGATTTTTTTTTTAATTCGGCTGCCTGCTGCTGTTTATTTATGACCAAAACTATTTGACAAATTACAAAAATTTCTTTTCTAACTATAAGATCTCTATACAAATAGCTCACCAAGCTTACGCCCAATGTGGCCTACCTCAGCAGTCATTGGCCTCAATCTGGGTCTGAAACTATCTAAGGACTTTTTTCATTTCAATCCTCGGCTAGCAACTACAAGCCATAAGCATCATTATTGGCTTTTCTTATTAGTAGAGAAACACAAACACTAAATCAAAAGGAAGTAAAAATGAGAAATAAACTAACAACAAACCCAATCTACCTAAAACAAATAAAACTAAACAAATCAAAGAAACAAAAATAAAAAGAAAAGAAAACAAGGATGACACTATTAAGCTCGTGCTAGACTAAAAATATATAGTACTACTAAATAAACTAATTTAACCTCTATATTAGTTATTTATATCTATATATAGGATGTAAGATTTAACCAAAATATCCATTCTTGTGTAAAGGTCCAAGTTTGAAATTTCCATTTGTGTATCTCTATAAAACTTTTGCAATATATTCATGACTTCCTATTTTAGACTTCGATCATATATTATTTATCCCAAAGCAGACACATACTCCTGTATGTAACTTTCTTTTTTTAGCAATGATCTTTAGGTTGATCCTTTGACAGGAGTACGCTGTTTTTCTACTTTTTGGTAAAATTTCGTGAAGTGCAAAAAGTAGTGTGTTGTAAAAGGTTTTGGTTAGCAGGTAGCCTTAAACTTCAGTAAAGAGTTTGTTAAAACTCACTTGTTGTTCTCCTTTAGACCAACTATCTTTCACTTCGTTAGCAGAAGCTATGCTTCTATTAAAATTTTTTGCACAAGGGTACCACCTCCTGCCAGTTATCTTTTACAAGAACGCTTTTAACTTGCTTGCTAAATATACCGAGGAGTCTGGAAAAGAAAAGAAGACCAGAAGACCCTTAACCTCTGAAAAAACCATTACTTGTATAGTTGTCTCTTCTACTTTTCTCCAAGTTTCTGTTTTTGTTAGTCGAAATTTTGGTATGAGTGATTGTCAGGGAGAGTTGTGTGTTTGTAAAAATGATTGATATATATCAAAGAATATAATATAATAAATTTTAACTTACCAAATAAAAATAATTTAAATAATGAATTATTAAAATATAATTTAAATAAATAACAACTTGTGATAAATATAGTCAACTTTTTCTATAATGAAGATTCTGAAAGAAAAAAGTTCATTATAGAAAATTACTATGATTCTATAAAGATTCATGATACTTTTTATACTGAATGATTATGAAAATTTAAAATTTTGAATTTGCTATAGAAAAGTTTATTATATCTAGATTAATTTGGAAGTTAATAGTAATTGTACCTGATATCTCTTGGTGATATACTGTAGCTATGCCACAATCTATATATTTATATATGGTCATATTACAGTATTTTTGATAATCATCCTGAATGATTCAACAGATCATACAGAATAGTCTCCAAAAAGCACAGTGATGTAAATTATAATATAGTCATAATGAGAGCCAATTAGTATTACCAACTAATTTTATGTCACTATATTTTTGGAAGCTATTATACAGATATAATTTCGAATGTTAGTCTAAGTTAAGTGTAATTTAGGCCAAAATTCAAAATTGCATTATTCTGTAAAAAAAATATGACTTTATTGAGGAAAATTTTGTATAAGCATTATATTAGTGATTATTAAAAAATGTGATAGTAACTAGAAGGTAAATATGCTTATATAGAGGTAAAAATAATATAAAAAAAGTTGGTAAAAATATAAATTTGATTATATTGATTTTGTGACTATAAGGGGGTAACTATAGAGGATATAAATATACTGTATATAATTAGATTAGTTATTTTTTTACTTTAGATCTTTGTATAAAAATTTACAATATTAGTATTATTCTTAATTTTTGATATATAAAGATTTTGAAATTCCAATAATCATGAATAAGAGTACTAAATTTTATATAATATACCAATATCGATATATATACGAATGATTAAAACTTCAGATAATCATTCTTAAAGATTATCTAAAAGATTTTTTAATTTATTTTAAATAAACAACTTTAGCACAAGTTTTTTTTTAAAACTATAAGCCTCGAAGTGTGTAGAATAAAACAGCCTATAAATATATTAAGAGACTTGAATAAGAATGAAATTTACTTGTGCAATTTTTGTCCGTAAATTCAGAAATTAAGGAACGTTTCTATTTTCCATGGGTATATTTTGAATTAAAGTTTAGGTTGATAAATTTAAGACGTACCCTTGAAAAATAAATTAGGTTTAAAAAAAACTGATTATCTTTTAGTCAAATTCTTTTAAAGATTACCGTATAGTTTTTCTTAAGAAAGCGAAATAAGTTTTATTTATCTTAGTAAAATATAGCAGTGTATATTATAAAGATGATGGCATAAGAGTGAAGACCGCTTCTGAGAAGGATTTTCTATCTTAATTAATAAACATTTTCTTATTAAGGACAAATCGTTTGATTGCTAAATTGGCATAGTGTAAAATTATTTATTCTACTAGAATTATATTTGAATTTACGATTTTTCAACATTTGCCATTACTCTTCCAAAAAGAAGCAAACTACAAAATAAGAATAAAGTTCTATAAATAAATAAATGTTGATACTATGAATATATATATATATGATTACTGTAAGCTATGAGTACAAATGTATATGTATAATTTATAAACACCAAAAATCACCAAAAATCACCAAAAATCACCAAAAATCACCAAAATTTTTTCATAATATATATCACAACCTAATCCAATCCAACCTAATGCTATATGATAATGATAAAAATTACCCACAAATAAAATGTTATTTGGTACATAAACCAATGGTAAAACAGTCACTCTAAGCAAAAAAATGGGTATTCTTTTTGCTGTCTTCGTGAACTTGCATCTCAATCAACTTGAATTCATTTAATTCTTGTTTAATCTTTTGAGCAAGGAGAGGGGTGAGCTTGTTGCAAGTTGTCTGATCGCCTCGACGATCGTAATCGTCGCGTGTCCAAGTTTCATGTATAAGAATATTTGAAGAAAATTGAAGTTTCTTCAAAGAAGAAGGCGTAGATGGGGTCGGAGGAAGATCAGTATCCCTTGTAGTAGCAAGCGAAGGCACAGAACGAGATGCGTTTGTGTTCATGTTAAGATATGGTTTATTAGCTTTGATGGTAGAAATAAATGTAGGAGTATTAAACTTTTCAGATGTTTCGGTAGAAGGTGAAGAAGTTTCTGGTGATTGAGGTGTTGGCAATGAATCTAACGGACTTTGAGTAATAGTTTGATTGTTGACATGATTATCGGGTAGAGAATCTTGTGGTTGACACTGAAGTTGTAATTGTTGTATTGTTGGATGTTTATGACGTTTGTTATTTCGTGATGGCAAAGAAGAAAACCGAGGAGGAATAGATGCTACATTATTTTATTAAGGCACAAAATTAAATTCATAATGAATT